TTTTCAGGGTCGAAGGTCATCAAATTAGGTCACAAACAATGTTATCTAAATTTTCCCAAAGTTCAAGACTACAAATAAATTCTTGTCATCAAAATTGCAGGAAAACCGCTAACCTTGTCAACTTGAAATGTTTACAGATGCAAGAGCAGACTAGTGCCAAGGTCTGATTAGGTTTTGGCCATGCTGGGTAAATTGCATGGTGGCCATTTTGCTCTTCAAAGTGCGATATTTATCACTGTGTGTCTTGTTCATATCATAATTGAGCTTACACTATTCTATCATCTTTTACGCACCAACTGCGTATAACACGCATATTTGCACCATCTTTTATATGAATCCCAAATATCGATGTGATGTTTCAGTCGACATCAGCTTATACTATATGTCTTGCTTTACTTGATGTAAATCCGCCAGAAATTAACAGCTAATTGTTCGAAGAGGAAAAGATAAGCCATAGTTAACAGTTGATCTTTCAATTACTCTTCTGCGTATTCCTTCATTTTCTTGCAATTTCTTCACAATCTATTACATCGGAATACTGCAAATCGATGTCACGTTTCGATTTGTTATAAACATATTCCGTGCATCTTTCTTGATATAGAATAGAAAGTCATATTTTTCGCCAGAAACTGACATTATTTTTTTGAAGACGAAATATTTAATCGTCCATTTTGTTTCCGTTTGTAACGTGCAATAATTGATTTTCAACAATAATGATGGTATGACATGATCTATGTCAGTCACAGATAATTAAAACAAAAGTTCGTATTCACAAGATGGTATCTTGACCCAGGTATCTTGCTAGCAAATTAAAACCAAAATTAAAGTTGATATTTACAAGATGGTATATTGCTTCGCTGGGAGGTAATATCCCCCTCTTGGAGCCGTATTTTACAAAAGTTTGAATCGTCAAGTTGTTTCTAGGTGACGTAAACAATAAATTCAACCAATCAGCGATGACGATGAGGTAGTCCATGGGTCACCAATAAAAAGGAATAGGTTTACACTCCCCTCCATAAGTTTGGCAACCTTTTTTCTCCATTGAACTACGTGTTAAAGCCTCTTTACGTTTGAATTTTTATTTACTTAACCTGCGATTAAATAACTTATAATATTGATGGAAACTTAACTTGACTTTATTTCCAATACCTCCAAATTTTTTCAATTTTTTTCCTCACTTACAATAGGTCGAAAATTGATGATAAATTTGATGAATTTTTGAAAATCGTCATTCCCATGTAATCCAATGGGAAATGGAGGGTTCGGGGCAAATCAGAAATCAGGATATCTTTTCAGTAAAAGATTCAGCAAAAAATATTTTTATATAGAAAATTGAATTGTCTAACTTTTTTGAACACTAAGTGTTTAGTTAATTTGATGAATATTAAAGTTACAGCGCTTCAAAGTCATTTTTGAAAAGAATTTTTCGCCTCCTGTGTTATTTCAATGGGAGAGTTTTTTTGAAAAACAATTTTGACTTTAAAGCCCTATAACTTTGTTGAACCTGAAGAAACATATCAATTTTTTGTTAAATAAAGTTAGCAAATTCAATTACCTGCCTAACTCGTATTTTTTGCAAGGACTCGGATGGATGGATATTCTGTCATATGACTTGCGGCAAACCTACCATTTCCCATTGGTTAACATGGGAATGTCGATTTTCAAAAATCATCAAATTCATCATCAATTTTCGACCTACTGTAATTGAGGAAAAAAATTGAGAAAATTTGGAGGTATTGGAATTAAAGTCAAATTACGTTTCCATCAATAGTATAAGTATTTTCATCGCAGGTTAGGTAAATAAAAATTCAAAGGTAAAGAGGCTTTAACACGTAGTTCAATGGGGGAAAAAGGTTGCCAAACTTATGGAGGGGAGTGTATCTCTACAGGAAGATAGGGTCATGCCACGACTGTAGGTTATTGACCCTATGCTATACCAGTAGTCATTTCGCTCTGTCAAATGGATAACTAATGGACAAATAGCCTATGAGCGATAAGAAATACCACTTTATACTACAGGCTTGCAACCACCATACCAATGTATGGAAGAAGCATGATCTGATATGCCCAGTAAGAAGACTCCAAAGCTGTAGATATCTATCTTGGGATTACTTTAATCCATTACAGACTTCACGTGTCAAATAGACTGACACTTAAAACGTACTGGTCAATTTCACTGTCTGCCTTACTTACTCGTAAGTAAATGTAATTAATTGGATGCAGCATTGATTTTTAGTTTTTACGGATCTATTTTTTGGGAAAATCTGGCGAAAATTATAAGCAAACATATTGTATTTCGAAAAATACAGCCATATCGATAACTATAAAACAAAATATTTCTACCTGACCGTTAAATAGATTCTGAGTCAGTAATACTATCGGCAGCGTTTTTATAAATGTTACCATATTGCGTCCGAATAAACTTTATGATGTGTGTGATTCTTTCATAGTCTCAATCGTGAATGATTTCTATCGCCCTTGATAGTTCTCATTTTAGCTTAGGCTTTAATTTTGAGATTATGTCAGGGGTTATTAAGCCACATGCCTTCTAGAGAAATGTACGTGGACGTGTAATATTATGATATTATGACCCCGAGAATTACTTTCCCCCATTAACTCTCTTTTACTGGGATCTAATGGGGGCCTCTAATTGATATTTTTCTCCTAATACTCAATTGCAATCGGCAAAAAAGTAATACCATGGGCTTTCGAGAGATACAAAGGGGCGGAGAGGTAGCCTATAGGATCATAATTCTACATGATCACTACCCTTTGCATTCGTTCGACGGTAGTTTATAACTAGACTCTGCACGCAGGGTACACGATCACGTACAAACTCTTAAAAACAGACAACTTGACCTCTCTATCGACAATTCATCCCACCAGTTGAATTCATCACAAACTGTCTCACTAAGTTTCGATTAACCTAACATTGGTTTGGTTGTATCCAACGTATAAGCCTTTATGTGCTAATCAATTAAATTGTGATTGATGCGCGTATTATCTTTTGGTAAAGGTATTAATCAAAAATGTTGACTTTCTAGACAAAATATTTAGAATCTTTATCACGTAATTCCTATCAAGTAAACAGCCCTGGCTTGATTTGAGTGAGATATTCTTTCTATGACAACAGTATCAGTGATTGACTTTTAAAGGCAATTAACGAAGTTACGCAAGTTAGTACAAACGTAGGTATATAATGTTTCACTTAAGTGCTCCAAAAAGAAATGCAAAATAATTACTACTACGATTGCAGACGTTGGGATATCGTAATGCGATTTCAGACATTGAAGATTGATTTAAAATGGGCGTTTTAAACTAAACCTTTCAATTCTTTTTGTAAATTGTACCATATTCAGACTTCGCAACTAATAAAAATGAATAGCACCACACCATCCTCCGATCACAGGGCTTCAAAATCCAGATTATCTTCTTTCTTTTTACCCCCTGCTATAACCAAGTTGGACGCGCCCGATTAAACTAAATCACGTGATCTTATTATGCGCCGATGACGTATACATGATTTCTGTCGCAGTGTTGCGACAGCCAATCAAATTGCGAGTTCTTAATCGGGAAAATGCTAACTGCTTATAGCAGGGGGAAGAAGGAGGTACGGATTCTGGACACCTGCTTAGGAGGATGCACCACACGGACTCAAATCAATTGGGATCATAGCGTTGCAGTATTGCCTGAGTGACAAGAAAAAACGTTTACTTTTAGAGTAGTTCTTTGCGATACTACTTGATAAACATAGTACAGGGATTCGTTCATTATCAAATTGTCAGGTTGATCCTTGATATTTTCAATGAATTTGATTACCATAAAAAGCATCTTATTCAGATTCTACACTCACAAAAACACATTTTCCCGACATCTGCCAGATGCGAGTCTTAAAAACCGTTACATACGTCGTTATGGACGGTATTTGCCGACTAGTTCACAGTTTTATAAGCCTGCAAACTTGTATTACATCATATGTTAAATTAATTCGAGCGTATTGATATCTAAGGAGGATCGCCAGAACCCATGTGCAAACCTTAAGGTACTTTCCAATATGTGGCAGTCAAGAGCTGACATATCCAATGTTTATTTTGTAAAAAAAACATAGGGACACCAAAAATACATGGCATACGCCCCATCGTCTCCCCACTGGGCGGCATGTTAAATGCCTTTTCATGTTTTAATATGAATTATTTGCAATAGGACGGGTTTAGGATAATTATCTTAAATCGCCAAACAAAACAGACAAAACAGAAGAGAAATCTTGGCTGCTTAATTTTTAGAAGGGGTGTAACATCCGACAAACAGTTTTTAGTAGAACCAATCTACTAAACAGGTATAATATTGAAACGTTTAATGAAATGATAACAGCACATCCGAAAAACATCTCGCCGAGGAAGTCATCCATGTGAAGTATGAATCCGCCAAATGAATATAACAAGGCATTAACATGCAAAATGTCACCACATGCCATTTGTTACAGACGCCGACCGCCGAACGCCAATCGCCAGACACCGTGCACAAAAAATTTGGTGATATTAAAATGTAACTTTAGACTATTCAGATAACCTAGGTTTCAGCGCCTCGACAGTTATAGATGAATCTTTTAAAGAAGCAAAATAAGACAATTGAAATGGATAACTTTGCATAAGTAAATTAATCCACCATTATCTCTATAAATATATGAATAACGTACTTATATTGTGAATCATATACTTATAACAATGGACATGTACGTGCCAATTAAATAGTCATACCATGGTGTTAATGTATTTTGGGACAAGACAATGTCTTAAGACGTAGATAAGTGTTGATTAGTTATTCGTGATTCGTTAGGATTAATATAAGAGTGTTGCAGAAGTTAATATCAATGTGTGCAGTGTCTCCTTTGTGCTTTCACAAAGACGTTGACGTTGATGACCAAATGGTGATTTGGACCAATGGCATTTACCGGAAAACAACCATAAAATAACATCAACACGTTGAGTGTGTGTTTCCATTCAAAAGAAGTATGCGCCTACAGCTTTACCAACATCTATAAATTCCTGATTTTCTAAAAGAATCAACTGCAAATGGCAAATCCACATCTATTAGTAAACTATGCCCCGAGTCTGTTATTGGAGTTAAAAACCATTCCTTTCCCCACTCAGATATTCCAAGTAGCCTATTTGTGCATTGGGAGTGTATTTATGATTATGTTTTCTCAACAAATAACGTTATATGAGCAATTACTCCAAGCATCAAGAGACTCAATTTCTGGTTAGGCAAAATATTTTCTTTTAACCTTTTATAGATAGACAAATGCCTCTACCAGATAAAAACATATACGTACGTAAAATGCGTTTATAGTCATGAAGGAATCTATATCAGAAAAACAGTAGTTGCCATGAGCAGTCTCACTTTCATCTTTTTAGTTATGTTTAAACGGCTCAGATGTGTTTTCTAAAGAATACCTATGTATTTGTGTTCTTGAAACGTTGCCTCTCGCGCTGTTTTGCAATTAGGACCAGCCGACAAAAAGTAACGAATGTTCATGTAACTAAATCTCACACATCATACCCATCTCACACTTATACAAAGCTAGCAATGTGTTAGTATTGATCGTGATCATTATAATTGTCAACACTGTTAAGTGTCAAGTTTATATGAAAGAAAACTAAACAGGATATACCTTTCACATGTTTGAAATCGTTGACGTAAATTTATTCCGTCTATATTATTTGTAAATAAAGTCATTAAATAGGTTTTAAACACACAAAGGGGCAAACAAATATATATGTTGATGTATCAGAAAAGAAATGACAGATTTAATAATGATTGAATACAAGACTTGTCAGTATCAATTCCCGAGCTGTGAGATTCCAGGGATTAAAATTCACATCTTACAAGGCATAATCAGGTCTGACAACTTTTCGCATTACGGGACAACTGATGCGTATATTGATCTAAAAACTCTGAGAGCGGACATATTTTACTTCGTATCAGATCTTTGTTTTTTGTTATCTTCGTCCTAGACGTGTAAGCGTACATTAACAAGATTGTATTCCCTTAGAATCTAGGGATGTTATCTAGGCCTATACTTTTCTACCTTAACAAGATTAAGACCAGTTTCTCAAAAACATAACTTATTTCAAAGAAAGAAATACAATGAACCCATTCTGCATTCGCAATTACCGTAAAACAGCTTTATGATTTTCTATGAAAGACGGGCAATTGAGAAAATGTATTGAACATTACGCGAAACCTCACAACGCCTCAATCGAAACGCGTAGTTGTCTGTGGTTGGTACGTACCTAGGTAATTACAAGTAATGCAACCTGCTTGCCAGTGTACGTTTACCTCTTTTGTAAACAAAACACATTAAACAAATTGTCTGCTCAAGGAGCGTGGGATTTTGTCTCGATTTCAAATTCATGTGTTACTCATCATTGCATCGAACCTTGTTTTAGTGGAGTATGTTTGATGAGAGGGGGTTGGCGACAAAAGATGCGACAAATCTTGACAAAATCTCCTCAGTAGAATCTCTCTACATGTAGATATTAAGGAGTGGATTCTAAATGGTTTGTTGCGAGAAGAAGGCTTACCGCAAGACTATATAGATGAGCGAGCGTTTTATGGATGAAATGATTTTAATTGATTTTTATTTTTCGTTTTTGAACAGAACGTCTGTTTCGATAAGCCTGAGTGTAACCATTGCGTTTGAAGTAATGCATAGAACATTTCTTATGAGATGTTATACAAATACCACGCGAAAGGTGTCATAAAGAACGTCATAAAGAACGGTACATAAAAACATCATTTGCAAAAATGAATAGTAATAAGGCTTGGCCAAGTTTCTCACCTTCTTCTTATTTCTGTTGATGATTTCATCCCGTCTGTCCACTGCAAACCCAGGTGTCTTCGACAAGAATATGTGACATCCTATTCTAAAGTATGCAAAGCTGATTATGATGAGAGGTATCCCGTATTGGGCAACAATCATGTATATGTGATAATATTTAGGAAACCAAGGTATACTCTCGGGCCAGAAAGGCTTGCAAAAAGGTTTTGACTCCAAGCTATTTTTCTCTTGAATATATGTGATTCTAAAGAAGATGGCGTACGGCAAGACCGAGCCTATTCCTACGACCCACAGCACAATCGTCACAACTCTGAATGTTACGCTAGAGCATTTGGGTTTGAGGGGATGTAGGACCGCTCGGTATCTATCCACTGCTATCACCGCCAATGAAAAGACACTTATGTTCACCGACAGAGCTGTGACAAACGGGGCTACGGGACACATAATGTGAGGTAAGACCCAACGCTGTAGCAACGCTGCCTGGAATTGAAAGGGTACTCCAAATATAGCGATGATAACGTCAGCGATAGCCATATCACAAATGAACATGTTCGTGACGCTCTGCATGCGTTTGTTGCGAAAAATTACGATGATGACAAGACTGTTACCAACAAATGCTATAACTGATATTGTGCCGTACAACGTTGATAGAAGAACGACAATTCCAGGTGGTACGTAGAAATCCGCTTCGGTTCCATTAGCAAACGAAGTTCCATTTTGAGATGTATTCATGTCCCCTAATCCGGTGAGATTTTCGTCTATGTTGAACTTGTTATAGTGTGGATTAATCAACGTTTCATTGTCTACACCTTCCATATTCATTGAAATCAAGTCTATTAAATAAACGAAAAACTACTGTTATTTTAATTTCATCGGATTTCTCACAGCTGTGTTATCGCGCCGCTGAGATTTCACTGGCAGTTCAGTTAGCGCGATTGGCTTTATAACCAGCGTCTCCAATAGCCTGCTATCTATTAGTTATTGAATTCAAGATCTATATCCCTTCTCCAAATGGATAATTCAAGATCTCCATTCTCACCTGAATATGAAATGAATAAGCCAAACAATATGACATAGACCTCGGCATAAAGACTCCAATTATACTGCATTATTCATATCGACTTTAATAACTCCTTTATATTTGCGCCAATTAAATTAATTACAAATACATGTGCTGTATTCACGCTTTAAGAATATCCTCAGGATCAGACTAGAATGTTGTATTGTACCATGGTAAGTGAATAAACCATCAAATATGTAAACATCTTAGTGATATGGGTGGCTTTTCTTTTCAGGAACTTCACCACGTGGGATCATAGCACTACCACTTCTCTTAAAACAGATTCAGAAGGTTTTTGGAATAACGTAAGTGCATAGTTAGCCGGCGGCGGTCTTGTATGGAATAGTAGAGTATACGTTTTCATTAACATTGCTTCACATCGAAAATGCCAAATAAATGCGATTTCTGTCAATCAATGAGTTAAAAAACATGTAGATTATCAACGGGGAAACTTCAAACGGGGATAACTGAACTAGAAATGACTTTTTCCATTCTTGAATTTTATAAGTGAAATCCATCGGAAAAGTCAAAATAAAAGAGAAAGGGCCAGGGCGCCAGGCGAAGGGATACCTAACATTATGATCCCAGTCAAGTAGATGGGCAATTATACCAGCCAAATGTTTTCTTATTTTGATAATCAATGGGCTCGTAAAAGCATTTTCAAATGATTTTTCAGATTATTTGTTGACTTAACCTTTTCTTCATGTTGGTTGTTGTTTATTGATCAAACATTTACACCCACAAAAATAAATGTTGAATATCTCAATTCACTGAACCATGGTAAGCCATAAATACCAGCTAAAGTTATCATACAACCGACATTTCACTCATCCAACATTTTTATAAAAAAGGCTATTGGAAAAATTATCGTTTTTTATTTTGATTCATACCTCAAGAAATGATACTTAAACCTGCATGACCAGCAAGATTGAATGCGTTACGAGTCAAGATGATCTTACGTAATTGTTTCATCAAAGAAGACACGTCCATTTATTAATGTCTCTGATGAAAGTCACCTTGAGATAAATCACGGAACTATTATGGCCTACCTGCTAACATTTGTATTTCATTGAACAATCACATGGCTTGCTTTGAACAAAATCTATTTGTTTCCTCTTCATTCTACAATTTTTTTCAAACTTTGGCTGGAATAAATACTAAACTACAATTTTGCATATATACGTATACAGCCATGCCATCTCGAAGCATCATTGGAAAATATACTAAAGGCGATGGTAAACTTTAGAGGGCCCCTTTAGAAGGCTATCGGCAAGGATATATTCCACTTGATCATAAAAATTCCCTGGCAAGAAATTGATCAAAACAATACATTCCAAGCAAAACATTTTTGTATTTTCTACGAGAACTAAAGCCGATTGAGCTTTTCTTGAAGCATGTGAGGATGCATACTTGTAAATTTGAATTACGCAAATAACTTCCCAAGATTATTGTGCACAGTTCAGTTCTCCAGCTAGTTTCTTTATTTATTCTAGTGAAGAGCTCCCGGAATTTCGTACGAATCATCAACTTAATGTATGTGATCATTATAAGTTTAACTAAAAATGTCTGTGTGGATGTTGGTGTTTTTGTCGTTATGGAATTTTGTTTAAATATTACCCTACAAACTTGCAAGGGTTTTTAGCTTATAAATGCTGAACTGCTGGCATGAAAAACCGACCAATAAACCTAGTGTGTATTTATATTGCCTTTTATGTAAAACAGATAAAAAAGTATCATTGAAAAATCTTTAAATGAAAGTTGCTTATTTTTTGTATTTCATGAAACGAGTAAAGATACACATTTCATTCTGTCAATAAGGAGCATTTATCTACTATCATTTATCTACTTAACTTCTATAAATTCATTCAACGGCTAGGTTCTAAAGAAATTGATATTGACCACGATCATTAAAATTAATGGTTTAAAATACTCCGGTGAATAAGTATATATTTAGATCGTACTACTGGGATAAATATACTAAAGTCTGTTAATCCCAGAAACCTACTAAGCCGTTGCAAGAGAGATCAGTTTAAAAATGAAACGACCTCGATGACAGGTTATATCTAATAAATCATGAATGAAAATGAACCATTGGAAATAGATCCACTCGGGGCAATCTGCGCGAGGTTCCATTTTTTGGTTCGGCAATTTGATTGGGTCTAATTATTAAAACACATGCGCAATCAATAACTTAATAATTCAATATACTTTTAGATAGATGTCACTTACGCTCGTAGATTCATTATTTCACAGCAGTCCCTACCCATAATGCACCATATATTGCGGGAATATTTTCGTTTAGTGTAAAACAAAAATTAAAGTATACATCCAAGAGAAGCGTAACGTAAATTCAAAAGCGATTTGAATCATGGGAGTGAAGTACTTCTATTTTTATGGATGCGAAAAAAAATTACCAAATGGAACCTCTCGCATATTGCCCCGACTCAATAAATAGCCTTTCCAAAATCCCTACAACCTTTTGCTTCACACAAAAAACACTTATTTTGATCACATTATGATGTCATGAATCGACCAATACCTATAACTTACTCACTTCGAGAGCCATGTTAGATTTTGAAACTTATGGCTCTCAAACGGAGAAGTGAACAGCTCATCAATAGTGACCTTTGAAATCGAATTAAGTCGATCCGCGGCTTACTTTTGGTCTCTAAATGTGTCTTACATCAGTATCATCAATCCGTGTAAGTATTGGAGCGCTGGAGTACTTCTTTTTCGATCAAGACTTGTAAATTGTTCATCGAGTGAAAGTTTTTTAGACCTATTTCCAATATGGCGGTTTGCTAGGTGCGAGATACGCAACGAACGAAATGAATTTTGAGAATTAGTTAGGTTCGGACAACCTCCGGAGATTTACGAAAATGTCCGAGCAGAAACCGCCATATTGGAATTTGGCAGTAAAACGATTCACTCGACTAACAATTACAAGTCTTGATCGAAAAAGAAGTACTCCAGCGCTCCGATACTTACACGGATTGATGATACTGATGTAAGACACAGTTAGAGACCAAATGTAAGCCGCGGATCGACTTAATTCGATTTCAAAGGTCACGATCATTGAGCTGTCCAAATGCTCCGTGGGAAAGCTATTATATCAAAATCCAATAGCTTTCGCAGGAAGTAACCTATAACCTATCACAAACCTAGTCAATAACACTTGCTATTTTGTATAGCTAATTATTCCATAATAACATGTTTTCCCCGGGAAAATAACTGGGAATGAAATTGATATTCAAAAAATCCCGTATCAGATCCCGTATCAGCCAAAATCCGGTATCAGATCCCGTATCAGAACTATCAGAAAATTTCATGAGACTTAATACTGTGTTATTATGGAATATTATGATCCATATTAGTATTATAAATTATATCTATTTAAAAATTTGTTAATAAAAGTTGAAAATGTCAAGACGATAAATTAGACTATCATTTAATGCCACCATCATTGCATTGGGCGACGACATAAAAAACAAGTTTCAGAAAGATATTATGGAATAAAATATTGATGGTCGTGATGGAATATGAATTTTTCCTCGAGAAAATATAATATTGTCCTCAGAAAATATCATATTTACACTCGGGCTGGAACCCTCAGTCAATATGATGTTTTCCTTTGGTCAATATCATATTTTCCTTCGAAATTAAATTCATATTCCATCCCTCCCATTAAATAACCTCTATTTATTCCATAGCAGCATGTTTTCCCTTGAAAATAAACAGGGAATAGAACTGGTATTATTGATATTAAAAAATCCCATATCAGATCCCTTATTGGATCCCGTATCAGCCAAAATCCCATATCATATCCCGTATTGGATCCCGTATCAGCCAAACTCCCGTACTAGATCCCGTATCAGAACTATTCCTGGGGATTTTCTCTTAATTAATACATTTTCGTTCTATTTTGAAACTTTTTTTATCAAATTTTATGTCACCATTATTGGGTGATGACAAATCAAACTTGAAAATGGATAAGTTTCAGAAAACATATTATGGAATAAATAGGTTATTGAGGGCCCTGGACTCAGTGCAATGTGTGCTGAGTCATTTCATTGCATTTGAAGGTGGCGTTTCCAAATCTTTGCATGACGGCGCAGCGGGAATGCAAAGTTAAGGAAACATCGCCTGAGTGGAATGAAGTAGCCAAAATGCATTTAAGTCCTAGGTTTAAATTGTTTTCACACATTGCAAAATATTTTCTCCGAAATCACGTAAAAGTACAAAATCACTAAAAGAACATATTTTTAATGAAACCGTTTGCAAGGGTCAAGTTGGCAAAGTATCAACTTCAATGCGGAGAGTCGACTTGTCACCTTAACAACTGTTTAACAAGTGATTCTGAATGCAGTTGTGTGAAATAACTGTGTTTGGATTGGCTGGAATCGGACACATATACACCTTGCCTAGCTTTTTGTGAATCCAATCTTAACAATATTTGCTCTCCCAAACATGTTGGAGGTTATTCCGACCGATGCATTGGATTTTCTGAAAGCTTAGATTTATAATCATTGCAACGGCGATATGAACGTTGACATTCTGATGATGGATTATAAGCGAGACTTGACACTCGGGACTGGCCGGGTTGTTTCAGTTATTAGTTTCATATATAACAAAGTGTAGACCTGATGAAGCGTGGGTTGAACGAGGGGATGAGGTGATTGTCAATAGCCTGCGAGAGAGTGAACAAGGGAGTATGACTTTGTATGTAATATGTCCTTTGGTGCTGATTTTGGGACCTTTGTCTTTGCCATGCATGTTGAGTGAGCTTAGATATTCACATTTGGCGAGATCATCGATGATTAATATTACATTTGAGACATGCGATTCAACTCATCAATTACAAAGGCTTATTCTTGATGATGAAAGGTCGAGGCAACATAACCATTAATTTGATAAATAATTCTAAAGAAATTGTTAGAAGAAACAAACAGCCTTACGTTTATTGTTCTTTTTA